TTAGGCCACAAGAATCCAAAGACGCTTCAGGCCCACTATCTAAATAAACACTCTGGAATTGATATATAGAGCCTCTTTCATCACAGATCTGCTAAGACTAAGCGTCTATAGCCTTTGCTTGGTATAGGCACTGATTTCTTTCCTGGCGCACCATATATTGCCCTAAAAGAGGTATTATAGAAAGTTAAGGAGGACCTAGAATATCTTGCAGTTTATAGAGAGTTAGGAGAACTGAGGAGAGGAAAGGCAATTAAGCCCCTTATATAAGAGGCATAAGATAAGATAAAGACGACTCTACAGCGCTTACAAGATATTACAAGCCGAAAATACCGAGAGGACTAGATAAAATCCGAAGGTGTGCGTCATCTTAAAAATCTGGAGGAATATAAGCTTGGGACCGAGGCGCTAGAAGGTCCGGCTGAGACTCTTAAACCTTTACCAAAGTGGCGTAACTTGGTATCTGAACTTATATTCGAGATAATAGATCGATCACAGGCGCAACGGCTTAGATTACTAGAAAGCATTCGCGTGTTATGTGCTGTTTAGTATGGGCAAGCTCGTGTCCAGTATCATTGCTCGGTTGACGATTGCCCATGGAAGGAGAAGCCCTTTTCGACTAAAGACGCCCTTACTCGGCATCAAAAACAAGCTCATGGCCGCGGATACTATTGTATGGTGAACGGCTGCCCAAGAAAAGAGCGATCATTCTCGACTGAGAGTGCCCTGAATCAGCATTAAAAGCAAGCTCATGCTCAAGTCCGCGCAGAATTCCTATGTCCTTATCCAACTTGCGAACGTTATTCGAGACCTTTTGCGGGAAAAAGAGACCTTACTCGACACTGCAATAGAAGCCACAGCACGGCTGAGTACTTCTGCCCTTATAAGTAGTGCTTATATCATATGAGATCTATCTTGAATAAAGCATCTCTTATTTGCCACCTCAGCCAGGTTTATAGCCTATCTTCTAATTTAGTTATTAATCTAGTGCTTCTAATAATGGCAGACCAGTTAAAGAAGCGCAAAGCTTTAGATAACGATGCTCCATCTAAGCGCTAACACCTAGAGTAGAGAGAGAGCTTAGAATATACTAATATGGAGGCATAATAGATATAGTAGATAAGGTAAAAAGAATTTCTAGACTTTAGCTTCCAAGCAATATATATTCAATTGATCATCTGGAAAACCAACTGTGCTATGTAACTATCAACCCACAGTTCATGCCCCATAGAAGGGGCCCACAGAATGGCTATTTTGCTTTGCATTGTGACTGAGGAGAACACTCCTAATATTAAATCATTCACCTACCCTTCCTCTTCAGCTTCGTTTTTCTCCAACCCATTTCTGTTCTCTTGCCACGGATTCGGAGTTCAATGTAGGCTCTGTAACTAGGTCCTTGGCTGGGTCGACTCGACAGGATCCTCAATGCAATGCGATGTATTTGCTGGTGTGTTGTTTCATTATGACGTGGCTGAGACTTGTTGCGTGATAGAAATGAGTGGATTGATCTGAGCGCCTGCCAGTGCGGCCGTCCCCTTTCATGTAAACGCTCACGATAAGATGTACGGTATTGTGACCTGGTGGACCTCAGACCAACTCCAAACAAAAAACCCCGCTCTGGTAGCACAACTTCCTAGATCAATTTGTACCGACCACCTGGGAAAACCATTTTCTGCCACATACCCTTCACTGAATACTTTGTTCGAAACGTTTCATACTTATCAGACTCTCTGTCGCCAGCTCTCTCCACAACCCATGAAATGCTCATGCTCCGCAGCTCTGGCGCTGTCATTGCCTCCATTGGCAACTGAAACGGGGTCAGTACAAGCTTCTGCCCAGCGGCATCACCGTCAATATCAAAGATCGCGTATTGTCCATGCAGTATTTCTGATTGTTTGAGTTTGCCTTCAGTGATAGCTACGTGGAAAAGAACAGACTGCATCATATGTGCCATGGACTTCATAATCAAAGTACGCGTGTTGTGTGGATACGGGGCCACGAGCGTCGTGAATATCTCCATAGTCTGTCGAAGGATAAATCCTACGGTGCCTAACATGAACGACTCTTTGATGTCAAAATCTCCGAAGACGTTCTTGGCAATGTCAGCATTTTCCTCTGGGGTTTCATGTTGATCCTCCCCATGCTTGACAGTCTCATCGTACGCCTCATCAAAAAGGTCTCGCATTTGTTCATCTGCTTGTTCGCGTTGAGACATGCCCGCTGATTGATGACGATCCAGGTACTTTTTATCTTGTGACGACCTTACTGGCGATGCCAGCCAGATGCCTCCACGCACCATGATTCGGTCAATCAGCCATTCGGAGTGGAAGCTCAGAGAATCAGTCTGGTGGAGACTGAACATATCTCGGCGACTCTCAATTTTCAAGACGATGGGGAACTGCTTCACCGACGCCAGGAATTTAAAAGTCTTCTTCGCATTCCCCCACGTAGGGTTCCACGTAGATTGCCAGATAGCATCTGCTGCAGCAACCTCATCCCGTGCGCGCAAGTTGACGAGCACCTCGAATATGATTTGTGTGATGGCCCGCTCTCGACGGTCCCTAAGAGCGATAACTGATTCTTGCAACGCAAGATAGCGACCATGGTTTGCAGCATTGTTGTAACACTCAACTGCGACCCGGCTGCGTTGTTCGTCAAGAGTAGCCCAGGGCTTGAAATATTTTTTCTGGATATCACGTAACTCAATAAATCTACCAACCTTCCACAGGAGGCCTGGGAGACGGAGACCATCGCCTGCCAGGAAGTACGATTCTGGAGCAGCCGGTCCAAGGTTTGAACCGCGAGGTAATAAGGAGTTGGGCCCGACTGAGGGCAGGTTTCGAAGGCACGAGAGGAGTGATTCCATGAAACCTAAGCAAGATAAATCTTCTGCAAAGCAACAGGCAGAGTCGTTAGCTGGAAGCCTTACATGAGAAATTGTTTTTAGGTAATGACGGTATATCGTATATCTCCGGAGTAAGAAGTGAGAAATCGCCGTTCATGATCGCCAGTGCAAGTACGCATATGCCTAGGCTTGGTTGGGACTGCCCGAGGGAAGTAGTGTTCAGTCGCAATTCATATCCACAAAGATTAGCAATGATGGCGAGGCGATCAGCAACTACACTATTGTACCTGTGGCGAAGAAAAGACAATGCTACTGCAGCATTGCAAGTGTCTCTCGGTCGTGTCCCACCAACTGACATCTCAAACCCGACGACTTTACGACGCTCGGGGACCTCAGGGTGAAACCAGGAAAACATCCGTCTTGCCTCCTCAACTTCTAGACTGCTCGGAGATTGGCCAAGCAGGCCGCGCGAAATCTTTAGAGAGAGATACAGGGTTTCAAAGCTGATGCAGATCTCAGTGAACGATTTCTCGTGGCAAACAAGCCGCAGGTTTTCAGTATGAACATCCTCCGCACGTGGAAACAAGATCAGTAGGTTGCCAATCGACGCAAATGCCTCTTGCAAGATCCATGCTCTCGTGTTCCAAGGGTCGTTGACGATCTTTGCGAAAGCCTCTGCAGAGGCAACGCCATCTACTACTCGTTTACGCTTGGACTTCCCGAATTTACCATCTCGAGGTACTAAACAGGCAGCCCGTTCTACTTCCTCCTCGAAGAATAAGAGAGCGTCAAGGTGCCGCTGCTCCAGAGTAGACTGAAATAGTCCTATGGTAATGTGCGCATATACATATACCAGATCCATGGCCTGGATGCCGATCTCCTTTTCGAGCTCGTTGTCCTGCTGGATACACTCCTAAACGCTTTGTCAGATGGTACGAGAGACATATTCAAATCGTGGATTTTTGACTTACCTGATCTATCCATATCATTCGGTAGCCGTTCTGAGCGGCAAAAGCTACTGCGCGGTCGACGGTGTTCTTGGATGCGCGCAGGTCTCGAACAGAGCCGTCTTCCTCGATAACCTTATAGGGTTTCTCCTTGCCATCTTCAGCAGACTGTGCTGCCCAGCAGTATGAAAGAGCGACAAAATGACCACATGGATATTCATTATGATCAGGTGAGTACTCAGCGAAGCCTTCAGCTTTGGGTATCACCCTCCTGATCCGAAATTTTGTTACCTTCGTACGATTTGGAAATAGTGGAATGTCTTTACAGTGCGAACACGTTAAGGACTTGACGTGTTTGCAACTATTCGAGGTTTCTAGCTGATCGGACCCCCTCCGAAGCCCCAACCGGTGGGAATTGCAGGCATGACCAGAGGGGGTTCTGACACGAAGCTCGCATCTGGCACATCTCTCTCTCGAATTCTTCGTTGCTTCCGCCAGCTCCGACGTACTAGCTGAAGTCTCAGCGGGGTTGAGCTCAGTTTGGTCATGCTCTTCATGCTGAGAATCATCAAAGGTGAGGAATCGAAGGCTGCGCGCCCAACTTTTCGCTAACCCTCGACTCATCTTGTGTTGTTCCATCTTTTCGAATGATGAAGATAGTTCAAACCGCGTGACAGAGCACGCGGGACTTCCTCTAGTATCGTCAATCATCTTTTCGAAATGCGAATTCGATTCCACTGTTTACATCAGAGCTCAATGATTGAGAAGAGTCAACTCATGTGATATACTGGATTGGGATACTGTCGGGCGATCATGCATAAGTGCGGCGCTGCATTTCAGGCGGCGACGTTGCAGCAGCAAAATGAGGCTGGCACTGTAGCAATTTTGAACGAATGAGAGCTGGAGAGCAAGTTAAGGCAACACTGCAAATACTTGTTAGCCGTCGAGTAGAATTGATGAAAGCCTTATCGCAGAACAAGTCCGCAGTAGTGCTACCACACCACTCACGGAAGCTATTACTAGTTGAGCTTACTAGGTGGACGTATTCAGGGCGCTTGCTCAGCCTCGTTGTGATGCTGAATACATTTGCCTCTTCAGAAGCAGCTGTCGTTCACATAGGACTTTATATTCTGTCACATCTAGAAGGCACTAAAATCTGAGAGTGGCAGCCTCTTCGCAGAACACCGATAAGGAGTGATTACCCCCTAGACATGCCCAAAGGGAAAAGGAAAGCCCTGAGCAGTCTGTGGAAAAACGGCAAGAAGAAGGACGATAAGAAAGGGAAAGAAAAGCCGGTCGAGAATCCAGAAAAAGATAAGTTGACAACGACAAATGAGGAACCATTTACAGGAAGGATGGAGGTGGAAGATTACGATACAGCTTCGGTAAGTCTCAAGGCTGTGCAATCGTCTAGTGTCTTGATGGTTGATATGGTTCAGGGGCCGACGGAAGAACTCTATGAGGATGGAGATTCCCAATACGGCAGTATCAATGATCGCGGAGACGATAGCCAGGAAATGGTGCTAGAGACTTTTGAACTTTGGCGCACGGATAGGGAAAGTCCCTGGGATGTATGGATTCCAGATGATGTTGACAGAGACCCAGAGGAGGGTCCAGAGTCCCGGAAGTACGTCTTGATAGTCCGCCGTGAGAAGGACCGCAAGAAACACAGTCTCAGTCTCCATTCCATCACGGTCCAGAGTCCTCTAATTAGGAAGGTTCTTGACCACACCTTCGATGGATACGAAGGTATGAGTACCAAGCTCAAGGAGCTGACATTCTACGCACCTTTTCACGAATTCTACAACAGATGGCACCTGTTCCAGAAGCTTTATTTGGAGGAGCGAGACATAGAAACTCGAGAGCACCTCGGCTTACTGGTGCCAATCATACGCAGAGAAGTCTTACCGCATATCGAAGCAATGAAATATCATACCCAGCACGGAGTAATCCCTTTTACATACCTTTGGGCGATATTTCCACCGGGCCTGGATATCTATTCCAAGGCTGATAGCCAGGACAGAATTTACAGAGTCAAAAAGAGTCAATATTCCGCCGGATATGACGGCAGACCGTACTTCCTTATTCGCTGCAGATACATCGACGGCGACGGTGACTGCTTTGGTTATGTCACAACATCTATTAGCATGAATGAGTTCGATGGTGTAAAGAAAATCACGGATTTGAACGCAGTCCCGAGTCACCTTCATCCAGGAGCGAGGGACGTAGTAAAGAGGTTGCACTCTCGAGGCAAGAAGTTTGAGAAACTCAACGGCTATCATATGCTGTCGTACTCTGGCTTTTACAACGCCATAGCTGACGGACGCTCTGAGAAACGTCACGTAAGTCCACTCCCAATTCATGCTGTAATGAAATGCAATTCTAAATGCTCCACCCTAGACTGAGGGCAGTCGTATAATCGTAGACCCGAAAGTCTTCGCCATCTACAATAGCCATTCCAGCCAACCACTAGACACACTTGAGACCAGACCCCCTCCAGAAGAAGGAGAAGCGAGTTTGCACTTCGGAATTGCGAGTGTGGTCCACAAAGCAGCGATGCAAGCATTCAAAGAATTTGACAAATTGATGAAGCGCAACGACGAGAATTTCTCTGATAGCTGTAAGATCTACCCCCTTTGCCAAATTGAGACGACGTTAAAACAGTCCTGGTATAGCAAGCTCCCTCACCCCGAGACAGCACATTATATGCTGTCCTTATGTCAAAGGGTTCTGTCTTACATCCAAAAAATGGGGTTAGTGCGCGTGAGCCCCTAACATATTGTTTGGCGTTGTTGATATTTGATTAGCCGAGTTTTACGTGGATAACATAAGTCCTATAGAATGGAGCAAGGATGCCTTCCAGAGACTAGTTCTTCCCGGTGGCTACAAGGAGATTATTCATGCATTTGTCACGGAGCAGCTGTCCTCAAATGACACATTCGATGACATAGTTCAGGGGAAAGGTCTTACCCCCTCATTGGTCTGTCTAAATAAATAGTCAAAGCTAACTATCTCTTGGCAGGCCAAGGTTTCATTATGTTACTCAGTGGAGAGCCAGGAGTTGGCAAGACACTAACGGTGGAATCCGGTACCTAATTATTCTTCATGACCTGCCACAAGTAGACTTGCTAATTTGCTAAGTTGCCGATGAAATGCGCAAGCCTCTGTACTCTATGAGCGCAGGTGAGCTTGGCGAAGGCGCAGGTGAAGTTGAGCGGTCGTTGGAAACCGTTCTTGAGCTTACGAACAGATGGGGGGCAATTCTTCTTCTCGATGAGTGTGACATCTTCCTCGAGAAGCGTACAACGGCAGATATTCAGCGCAATAGACTAGTTTCGCGTAAGTTCATTTTATTATGCTACATTTTGATCTCCTCAAGACCAGAAGAATAATTCTCGAATTTTATAGTTTTTCTCAAGCAGTTAGAGTACTACCGCGGTGTGATGTTTCTCACCACCAACCGCGTCTCAACGATCGACTCTGCCTTCGAGTCTCGAATTCATCTTGCAATCAACTACCCCAACCTAGACTTCCAAAGCAGGCTTCAGATATGGCAGACATTCATTAGGCCTTGCCACGATACGTCCCAGTACTCCAGCAAGATGAATGATAAAGACCTAGAGCGCCTAGCCAAAAATGAAATGAACGGGCGACAAATCAAGAATGTTGTCAAAACAGCGCGGTTGCTGGCCAAGCAGAAGAATATTCCATTGGCGGTGGAACATATTGAGATGGTGCTGAAAGTGAAGTCGAACAATCATATGTAGTTTTCAGGGTACGATCAAAGGCCAAATATAAGAGTTGAATACTATTGAAAATGGCACTTACAAACTGCTATGTTATCAACAGGCCAAGTTACGCCATATGTATCCTTATCATTGAGAGCCGTGTCTGACAACTTTGGACATGGGTCCTTTCCCACTTACTATTGCTGTCGTCTCAGAGTTTCGATAAATATGACAGAGAACATTTGAGCTGACATTTAATAGCAAAAACTAGTTTTTGGTCAGAACTTTTTTACCTCAACAAGCAAAATGATATTGATTTCATTTTGATGAGGAAACTATTCCTTTCCGTCTTGATGCAAGTAATCTAATTATTTATTTCGAAAATACCCGTTGAGCATTTGCAAACGTTCTTGATAACAAAAGGCGTATTCTATGTTTTGTTTAGCCGATGCTCCGGATACATAGGTACTTGAGAGCGAAACCACGAGTTTCATTATGTTTTCCTGGATCTGATGTTATCGCTGTTGTGTTCGTGATGATATAACTGTAAGCGGAAGTAAATAATATTTTTCAAAGTCCCCTTAGATTATTTTCACGATTTGACTTATTCTTGGTCTCGGATATCTGCTAACGACTTTGACTTTCCAAGCGATTTCGTAGTGTTTTTACGAAGAGAACAGAGTGTAGATATTTGGCTTTGGAGAACACGTACTGAATTGTCTTTTCCCAAATAAGAAATTGAGAATTTCACTGATACAAGCCTAGAGCAAAAGAAAAACGAAGAATACATACCAGAAATCTTACCAGCAGCAAGCGTACCTGTACCATCTGATATTTCCTTGACTCAATAATTCGATCTCACTTGGCAGACGAAATATAACTGATCTGTCTTTTCGACAGACAATAAAAAATATTTTAAAGCTCAGGATGCTTTAACCGTGGCCGTAGAATAATTGAATGCCCTTAAGATTATAACAGCAAACGTTTTCATTCTTGTGTTGATAGAGGGATCAACCCTGTGCATAAACGTCATCTCCTTATGGTATCCTGAAAAGGTATGCAGGTAATATTATATCGAACCCCTCATATCAATGCAACTTTACAAGCAACATGAGCCGGCCCTACTATGCGTTGCATGAATTTTCAGTTATACAGGGCAGGCTGACTCTTAATACGAAATTTCTCGAAGCAAATCCGTTACTAGATGAACCGCGCTAGTTGTCGTACTTGCCTTTGGTACATGAATATCCAAGCTGCGCCGATACAATTCTGCCTTACATTGCTTGCATACGTGGCTCTTCCGTTTCTCAGGGATAGCCTCAACCGCAATATCACTATCTTCTCGGCGCAATCTCGCCGCTGCATGAATCTCACAACGATCAGCAGCCATAAAAGTTATCCAACTTTTTGATGAATGCACTGCCGCCGAGATGCTCTGCCTATCTTGCTTGCAGAGTCTCAGCATTTGACATAGAACATTGGTATGATCTTCTCCTGATACAATCTCATATCTGCGTAGAACCCATGATCCTCAGGGGGACACTAGCTGTCGTACCCCTTGATACAACTGCGGAATCATGCCGATGCTACCTCATTGTGCAATATACCTTGTCTGGAGAACCACCAGGCGTTGTATTCCCCTTGCTTAGGGCAATTTCGCTATTAGGAAAACTGTACCTTGTTTTGCGTGAATAGTAGAACGCCTAGAAGGAGCCCTTGAATATTGATGAAGCAAGGATTTGTAGTGCCATCTTTTATACTTTCTTCTTCTTATAATTATGCAGAATCATTTTCAGTTATGTGTATAGGTAAGCGCAAGTTCTTATCACATCAAGGTTAGACAAAGTGGTTAGAAAATTAGTAATATTCGGTAAGGCCGAATAACCTAGTCACGTGTAACTAAACCAGGCAGGATCCAAATCGGCTCCGGCAAGGACCCTTATAAGATTAAAAAGAAAGCGAGAACAGATGCCGTTACGACGTCTTGATAGGTTCAAAGAGGTGGCTGTGTTCCAGACAACAGGCATTAGCAAGATTTATATTTAGACAACATGGAAACGATAACCGATTCGCGAGGGAGCCAGAAAAGAATCCCCTGAGCATAAATCCAGCTGACCCATTAGCGTGCTCAGGACTTAGGGCTCAGCTCAGGTTAGAGCAGCGGCTGCTCAGGTCCAAAGACGGAAATGGACTTTAGTGAGGGCAAGATTCGGTGCAAATTATAGCGGTAATCTGCGCCGAATCTTAATCTGCGTCGCTTCTAACGCGGTTAGTCAGCATCGCCGCTCTGCTTAGGCGCTACTCACCCTCGCCTCACCCTCTACTCAGGTTGCTCAGTCACGTTCCTGCTCTCCCTTCAGTAACCAATCATGATTTACTTACCATTCAGTTCTGCCGTGCGAAAGGTGTCAACTCTACACGACTATATTCAGGGAGACCAGATCGGCTCCCAGGGAGCCCAAACAGGACTCCCCCCCTACAAAATACATTCTTCAATTTCTCAAGGCAGATTCTTCTTGCAACATGGCGTGGCCCTGGTTCTTTTCCAAGGAGAATTTGCCCTCGTGCCCCCTCTCAAATCTTTGCCCTCTTATACCTTCTTCCATCAGACCTACTTGACTACTTCTCTTTCCGCCCCTCCGAATTCACTTCGTATATTACAATTTTTTGTTTTAACAGACTACTTGTTTCTTTCTATAATTATTCTTGCCACGTACTCGCGTCGCATCATCCTCCTTAAAGATGGGTAAGCCGAAGGACCCCAAGAATTTTGTTGAAAGAGCTAGACAAAAAGGGTCCCAGAAGAATACAATTCACATTAATGGTTCTGAAGTTCAAAGCCACCTCAAGTCTAAGACTTGAAGGTCCTATCAGAGGCAAGTAGACAATTAGTATCAGTGAGTTGCATCCTCTCAATCACATGTGGCTCTTGACCTAATAAATAGATTCGCCAAGCAAAGTCTGGTGCTGGCACCAACGACCCCGACCTATAGTAACATCACAAACAGCCCAACATAGTTCCGCCGTCAAATTGTGTCTTTTCCTTTCCAAGTTCTTTAGTTCTTCACTAATCTCTAGGCGTGTCTTTCGTGGTACGGAATCAGCTGATGTTTAGCCAATCTTCTAGTAGATTTCAGCGTTAAGAGTCTCAAGTGATATCATAAGCCGATTCTAAGTTGTAAAGACTTAGCGGATTTTATAACATCTCAATAAAGAAGGATTTAGCCACTCCTTTTCTACATCGACATAGTCATTCAACTCACGCGGCGTACCCCAACCCAATTCTGACTTTAACTCCTTGGTTCTAGAGGACTAGATCCTATTGGTGCTCGGGCGCGTCGAAAGTATGTCAATATATGAGGAAGTTGGTTTTTCGAGCCCATTGGGGGCCCGGGGCTCATTTTCAATTTCCATGCAGAGAAGGATATCTCCATTTTGTTGGACCATTCACCACTTGTTGGTTGCTGTTGCTGGCTTTTTGCCCACGTACTAAGCCGGGCTTCTTGCAGGTAGATCGCTGCAGAAATTCGCAAAAGACGCGCTTTAGGAAGGAGGTTTCTCACCTTTGAGTACCATGTCATTGCCTGCGTATGGTGGCACATCAGCCGTCTGTTCTTGGTCTAGGACTGGCCAAGTCCCGACACGTTGGTAGCGATGACCTGGAGGAGCGCTACTGCATTGCATGTGAGTTGCCCGCCTGCCTTATTCGCAAATAATCTCAATGCCTCAATTCAACCCTTTCCCCGCATCAGCTCATAATACGTGCAACCTACACGCACTAACCTGTTTGGTGGGGAAGCCCCTTCCACCCCACAGCGGTTACCCCTTCTACCCCGCAGTACAATGGTTTGCTCTACGCACCAAGCTTTTGAGACTCAGATGCTACGCTGGAGAAGGATATGGCCGTGGCCAATAAGCGTGGTTGTTGTGATTATTAAGCGGCTCTTCATCCAACATCATTTATCATTCAAGGTTAGGATTTCAATTCTCCGAACTTCTATCGTTGTTTTGTCAATCGTTGATACCTATATTCGTCGCCTGCCCACAAACCGCTTTCAAAAAGCAGACCTGCCAAGATCTTCCGACATGACCGAGATACAACTTCCAACAGAGCCTCGAAACGACGAGATAACCAACAAGAGAGAGACTGATGCTGCTGTGCCATCAGAACTTGAAGTCATGGGGGCAAAACAAGAGCTTATCACATTGGCAGCTCCAGACACGGCAAGCCCCGAGATCAAGTATCCCGGACTTTTCTTGTCTTCTGTACTTCATGCTGCACTGCTTCTCGCAATGTTTCTTGTGGCTCTGGACATGGTATGTGCTTCTCTACACAATTCTAGAGTACCAGTACGTGCGATTCTAATTAAGTATTCATAGACAATTGTAGCCACCGCGATCCCCACTATTACAGCCGAGTTCCACAGCGTTGACCAGGTCGGCTGGTACGGATCTGCATTCTTCATGACTCTCGCAGCATTTCAAGCCTTCTGGGGTAAAGCCTACAAATACTTCTCTCTGAAAACTGTTTTCATCGTTTGTATTCTCATTTTTGAGACAGGGAGTCTGGTTGTGGCTTTGGCGCCGAGCAATTTCGCTCTTATCATCGGTCGTGCCATTCAGGGAGCTGGCGGTGCGGGCGTCTCGGGAGGCTGTTATATTATTGCTGCATTTATTACACGACCTAAACATATGGCTCAGGTCATTGGCCTCTTTACTACAGCATGGGCGTGTGCCTCGGTTCTTGGTCCTGTCCTTGGTGGTGTTTTTACTGAAAATGTTTCTTGGAGATGGTGTTTCTGGGTGAACTTGCCAACTGGGGGCCTCGCCATAATTGCTATCATGTTTCTATTTCAAACACCAACACACTCACGCCTTGCTCAGGTTCCAGCCTGGAAAGAATTGCCCTTCCTATTCGACACAGGGGGCTTGGTGCTCTTGCTGGCAGCCTTGACCTGCCTTTTGCTGGCTTTGGAAATAGGCGGGGTGACCACACCCTGGAGCAACAGCGTGCCCATAGGACTCCTGGTTGGATTTGGTCTGATAATTATTATCTTGATCGTGCTGGAATGGTGGAACGGTGAAAAGTCAATGGTGATTTTTCGTATCGTGAAACATAGAACCACTTTTGCGTTTTGTGTTTTTGGGTTTTGCGTCCACTCAGCCAGCTTCGCACGGAATTATAACTTGCCAATATATTTTCAGGCCGTACAAGGTGCTTCTCCGTCAGAATCTGGGATTCACACACTCCCTACAGTGCTTACAGCCTGTGAGTTCCAACATCCTCTCTTGACCTTTCAAATCTACGCCTACATAGTATACTGAGTAGTGGCACAAACAGCAATTGTAGGTTACGTAGGATCCTTCCTAGTTGGCAAAGTCGGTTACTGGCAGCCGTTCTTCTGGATTGGATGTATATTTTCTGTGGTCGGGGGCGGCTTGATATATTCTCTGGACCTCGATTCTTCAGCTGCCCAGTATATTGGCTACCAAATCGTGGTTAGTATTGGAACTGGCTTAACCATTTCCATCCCCATTATCATCGCGCAGGCGACCTCGTCCCCCGCCGATATGTCTGTCACTTTGTCCATGGCACTTTGTACGTGTTCCTTCGAAATCTCGCTCCCTCTTTGTCTCACCACGTCTTTTTAGTATTCCAATTCCTCGGCGCCACCATCGGTGTCTCAGCAGCAGCGAGCATCATGGACAACGTCATTATCTCATCTCTGCCAGCCGACAATCCCAATATAACCGCCGCGAAAGTTCTCGCAGCAGGTTCCTCAAGCCTACTCGAATTCTTCCCAAATCCTGAAGACCTCAAAATTGTAGTGAAAGCTTACATGAGTGGGCTTCGGGCTGCGTGGATCTGGTCCATCGCACTTCCAGGAGTGGGACTCGTGGCTTCTCTTTTCGTGGAGTGGAAAAGCTTGCGGCCGAAGGATATTAAAAGAGCTGAGGCAAGTAAGGTAGCATCAGGGATACCATCTGAGGCATGATTCGCTCGTATTGTCAGTGGTGAAGCAGGTGAAAGTTGTGGCTAGAATGAATCCGTTTGATACAAAAGCCCGTAACGAGCAAACATTGGAAAACGAAATTTCTTTATTGGACATCCCCGCTTAATACGGTTCTACCTTGCCTACGCAAGTATTTCTTTGGACACCTATCCGAAGAGGGGAAATTTGGCTAAGTAGTTTACCTTTCCTTTACGGCATAGGTTCTTCTGAACAACTAATCAATATTGTCTAAGTAATACGTCCCAGGTGCCAAGAAGGTTGTATCGCCGACAGGCTTGTAATTTTTACTCCCATACGCTTTCTTTCTGAGAGAGCAAGCCCTATGTCACTAGGTCAGACCACGTTCTCAAACGAATTACAATGTCCAAGCTCACATCTTCATAGTCCTTAGGACTCAAGATATGCTGCTGCTTCAAACGATCCATTAGGTTGATTTTCTGGACCATCTGAGTGAGATCACTAGTGACTTTCAGACCAAAGAGGGTACTGGCTGCACCACTTCCATACTTAGGGTCCCGTCAGGTCAGCCCATTTCCTCCAAAGCGGCTCAATACACAGGATTCCAACCACTTACACTAAACAAGCCAATAATCTTACCCTCTGCGACTGAGAGGTCGATATTGCTGATTAAGCTGATGAGTGAGCAATAGAGACTGCCAGTATACATGCTGCCACATAAAGAGGGAGCGATGATTGACGGCTCAACTCTTTCTTTGAATCGATCTTTCGTCAGGCACATGAAGAAAGCCGGGCAGGGCTTTAGTGGGTGCCAAGTCATGTAGGGTATCTAGTGGCTCTACAGAATGACAAATTGAGTTTGCATGTTGTTTTCAGGGGCGATCACATTGCACTGCAACGCAAGAAGTCTCTTGTGGGTGTGGGTTTGAGCAGAGACATGGATCGCGATATGCTTTCCGTAAAAAGGCATGCAATGGGTATATGGATTGAAACAGTTAAATAGTTGGTACATACGACCATAGACTGAGGAGAATTGGGCTTTCTCAACCGTCTATAGTAACTCCAGCATTAGAACGGAACGCTAACTTGAGAAATAGGATCGACACTCTAAACAGCTCGCTGATAAACTCGCCCCCCGTCTTACTAGGTGCAAGACCGAGAGACAGTGGAACGACGTTGCATATGCTCTTAGTCTATTACAGCATAAGAGCAAGGATATCATGAAGTTGGTGGCAGGAGGATTACAACCGTCTGTAGTAACTCCAGCATCAGATCTTAAAATTTTGACAGGATCTCAAAGATGAGATTTAGTTTTGCGACCTCTTTTCCTAAAAGACAAAATCTGAGATCCAAGAACCACTATCTTGGCCAACTTCCCCCAAGATTCATTTTCAATTCCTTGGCCCATCGAAGTCCTATAGATTATTTATATTATTCTTGCATGGCGACGGCGCTGCTTTTAAAAGTGGGTCATTTATCAGATTACAGGTCTCTGTTGGTCTCCAGGCCACTGCCCTTCAACTTCAAATAAGCTATCTCCTTATTCTTTCCATTTACCTTTCACACCAAACCTCTTGCAATGTCGTCCTTTATAAACAGTGGCGGAACAAAGCGAAAACGTCGGCAATTACCTCCTATCACACGTGAAGCAGCAGAAGCCAGAGAAACCGAATACAATCAATCTCAGCATCATCCGCCAGTTGTGCAACCAACGGCTAAGCGGTACCGTCACGCGGCCAAACTGTGGAAAGAGTATGTAATATCCTCAGTGTAATGCTCTCCGACGCTGACGTGAAAGGTTTCTTGAAGATTATATACACGATGACAGGCCTTCTTTGCAACGGCACGAGGACGTCCCGTCGGCTGGGCGCTTGAAACATTTCATGGAATGGACATTTGATTCATCTATTGGCGTACTTACAGAACGCATCACATTAAAGACTCTTAAAAACATGTGGTTTTGTTTTCGGTCTATGTACAGGAGAGAAACTGACAACGTTATCCCGGAAGACGTAGGGACTGATGTACTTTGCGTAAGTGTGCAAAATCGACCTTTATGGAGAGACTAATACGGGTCTTAGTTCATCAAGACAGAGCTCAGGGAGAAAGGTCTTGCGAAAGTCCAACGACGGAAAGCTATAGCCGATGCACTAGACGTTGGCTGGTTGCTGACAGGCTTATGGTGCCACTACCCAGACAAATTTCCCCATCCCCGGTATATGGTACAGCTTAGCTTCTTTTTGCTCTTGATAGTATATACCGGAGCTAGGCCTGGTACCATCATCGAATCATCAGCTTACCGCGGAAGCAACCAAGCAATGTGTTATAAAGTAAGCTTTTAATGTCCCGCAAAATCATTCAGACTAACCGTTCTTGCTTAGGATTTCGAATTGATTGGTCTCCCAACTGGACCAGGAAATACGCTTGAACTTATTCTAAAGGTCAGATTTCGTTACGAGAAAGGGAATCGAGATCAGGGAGGAAACGACTGTAAGGATTACAAATGGGTAGCATTCCGTGAAGACCGCACTTGCCGTGGGAGGTGTCCTGTTACTCATTTTATCAGTCTAGCGTTAGCTGATAACGTTTTCGACGACCTAAGAAGTCCAGCCCAGGTGAAGTACCTCAAATCTCCAGGTCTTGATCAGTGCCTACCCTTCAGATATAAAAAGTCTAAGCTGGATTTGCTGGTCTTGCGGCATTGCAATAGGAGTGGTGCAATTTCTCTAGATCAGGCAATGAATTACAAGGAGACAGCAAGAATTCTTGCGGACTTGGGAATATGGCTAGGGCTTCGAGATATTTTAAAACCGTACAATCTCCGCCGAGGAGCCGCCAACAAATTTGAGGGTAAGTCACACTTGAAACTTTTAGACCATAAACTTATACAGGTAGGTGAAACTGAGATCAGCGCAAATCAGTACGCTCAACTCCTAGGTCATAGTGTCAAGATGATGGGAGAGAGCTACATATCGAATATATCGGCTGTTGATGTCCAAGGGATCATAAACGACGAATCGCTTCGACAGGACCATATTCAAAAACTTCGAAGTATGAGACTGCATCTAAACCCAAATGCCCCTATTCACCTCCCCTTCTTGGAATGTGAGGCTGTTTTGGACAATCCGGAGCTTATAAAACTTGATGCTCATCTCAAGAGTCTCGAAAAGCGACGAGTAGAAGGTGATAGTAGCGAGCTTCGTCAAGAACATACTCAGGCAATATGGAAACGAAAACATTACTTTGAACAACTCTACTATAAAGCTCGCATGCAATTTCGAGATAACTCATTTGACCTCGCCGACTCGAACAGATTGCGGAAGATGATCCAGGACGGCGAAAACGGAATATCCGCCAATAAAGACGACAAAAAGCCGCTCGAAGTTCCTCGTCCCAAGTTTATATCATCCGCCCATTTTCCTGATCGCTTTACGGTCGCTAATAGCTTCTGGAGACAAACTCCTCGTCACGATTCTATTCCAGACACGAGCCTTATTCAGAGTCTTTACAATCTCTGCGTTCCAGAAGAATATATCTCTTACTACCAAGGAGAAGCACCGGTCGAAGGTCACTGCCCAATTTGTAACCAGAAAATGGCAGACATTTCTAGCAGCCAGCAAACAGGCCATATACACGACTGCTTCGGTCGCATACATGAAGAGAAAGCAAGGGTGGCATTCTTGCTTACGCGTCTTCAGCTTTGCAAATGGGGGAAATGCAAGACTGAATTCGTCCAAAAATCTAACCACCTTCCAAAAGACTTCGCTAGTAATATATCCGATGCTAAACAGCGGCGAAATCTTAGGGCTAAGGAGTCGAGGCGCTTAAACGATCTGAGGCGCAATGAAGGGCTTGACGTTAGTCATAATCAGGCAGTTCAATCACGGAAGACGATATCGAATCACCTTAAACAACATCTGGCGAAAGATCCAACTGTTTGTCTTTGGGACAAATGCAGTCTCCAGTGCGCTTCCCAGCAAGATCTTAAGCGTCACCTGTGGAAGTCACATGGAGTCACCCTAAAGCAGGCCTATTTTAAGCCGAAGTTCTGCTTCGAGCACCCTGATAGTGGTTGGTTTACTGATGAATTCGACTGGGAAGACCATTGCGAGATTCACATGCAGACTCCCCGCCGCAGTCTTAATCTCGCACGGTCTTATCACATGTTTACAGCTGGTCTACAGTGCCCTTTCTGTCTGGATACTAAGGCGTTATTCTCGAAGCGATTCACTCAATTCACGAATAGAGGGACATTTAACGTTCATGTAGACGCCCATAAGAAGGCTCTTTGCGACCATCTGCTAAAGTGTCCTGTTCAGCCGTGCACAGAAGACTTATTTCCAAGCTATTTCAAGTTGCAAATCCATCTCTTCGACGTTCATGATCACAAGTTAAAGGGATTCACGCGTAGTCGTGGATTTCAACAGGACAACATCAAGCCCTGTCCACAGCCCGACCATTTGCAAGAGCAAGATGATGCGGAACACAACGCCGACAAGATCGAAGATATGTTCAGAGAGGAGTTCGGTGACTGGGTACCTAATTTGGAAAATGAGAGCGAAGACGAGGAAAATGATTGGGCGGATGAAAGTGAGAATAGATCAGAAGGTGGAATAGAGGATGGCATTTTATTTTTGAAGGATCAAAGCAAGCGGAAGTTGTTAGATGCTCATTTATGTAAACGTCAGAAATACTAAGAAGCTTTTGATTTTCTTACGCAGCTCGGAGTCCCCCCCAAGCAACAATTTCGTAGTGAGCCAGCCTTCGGCCCACATGTTGTGTTTAGGGAAGAAGTTTTGAATTGACTGCTGTTCTATAGTGAGAATTATGCTGTATATATAGGCCTTTCAGGCTCTCTGAAAGTGTCTATACATCATCACTAAAATGTGTATACATCACCACTTTTAGTGTATGCTGAAAGCAGTATACTGAAAGCGTCACTTTTAGTGTATCCACATTTTAACACCACATTTGGCAACTTAAGCAGCTGCAAGATCTAGTCACCCGCCGCCCGTAACCCCAATGACATGCACCGTCCTAAGCATATAGAAAGTGAGACAACGCGGAGAAATTGTAAACATTGCCACTTGGACACACCCTATATTCAAGCTGCGTAGTACTGCGTATATGACCATATGATGGCCTTGGACTCGGCAAACAATGTAGAAAGGATACTGCGGGATTGAGATGATCCCGCCAGGGTCGTCGATTACCTTGATCTATACCATTAATCTCAATGCTCGACGGAGACGTTGCCTTGATGCTTCGTGTCTTGTTCTATTCACCCATTAATCTCGTCGACATGACATCGCTCTCGCTTACGAGTATATAACCGTATTAGGATAGAGTGGGAGCCTCCCGACTTACGCGCCCGAACGTATGATACCAAGGTATCCAACAAAGGTGGTTGATTGCCTAGCGTCCACTGGATGCACTTGTTCGAGTAAATTAAGCCATGATCCAGACCCTAGACCTCGGATCTTGGATGTAAGCCGATGAAGCTTGAAGGCTATTCATTGTGTGATGATCTCGAATGGCATGTTTTTATCAGGAGGTCGTAAGAGGCCCTCCGAGATCGTGGGACTGGAACCCTGGTTCTTAGCTTCTCTCTATGATTGAGCCTGAGAGTTGAAGGCTCTATACCAAGTCTTATGCATGCAGCTTTACATGTAATAACCTAGGCACTGAACCCGGGTTGGTTATAGCTTCACCTACCTTGGCTTGTAATTAGCACTGGGTTGTGGTCCAAACCAACGTAACGCTACATATTTACGAACTTTTTCTAAAATTGCAACAACTATTTTGATATTTTGCTTAAATGGCCAGATTATTCGTAAATGGTTGTCTTTACTAGCTACCTACTTCTTTTGCTGCCAACCTAGTTTGAAGTCATTAAGCATGGCCCAAAATGACTCTTATATAAACACCTCTCTTGATAAAATTTCTCCTTCCATTCCTCAAGAAAAGCGGCTTCTCCTTCTTTGGCTCGCTTCTGCGTATAGCATAGTAGTGATTGGGTTTATGGTCTTCTTATATGATAGATGGGTAGGGTTGGAGAGGAGCACTTCTTGGCTTGTTTTGAAAGCCTCTATCTTGAGCATTATATGGCCATTAGTAATTTTATACTTGATCACAGATTGTGAACATATATTTTGAAAATTACCAATTTAATTTCTCTATTTAAAAAATGTGTCAGTTATCTAAGCTCGCCTAATAGCGATAAAAACTCAATTTTGATAACGCTCATTTTTATGCCGGGAATCATGCTTGAAGAGTCGTTTCGTCGAATCCCTGACATACTTTACGACGTCTCTGCTGTATCAACTCACCTTGCAATCTTCTTGGAGCGCTTTTGCGTCGCATGTGGGACTCAGAGCACCGGGATAAAACATTCGGGCCGGGTTGTCTTGTCTCCGCTTGGTTCGACCATCATTTTGATACGCTGAGTGCCAAATATTCTCTCCATATGTGACTGCCAATACGGTGAGAAGGACACACTTATATTAAAGGAGCTGCAGGAGAGGTGCTATTGTCTCGGGGAAGTAGACGGAAGCGTAGATATACTTGATTGGTACGGATGCTTTGAGCAGAACCCGAGCTCTAAAATTCGAAAGAAACACCGATCCAGGTACTAATTACCGATCTCAGTAAACCAGAGGACCAAGCTTTATATATTTTGATTCCTTATTCAGCAGAGGTCAATAGAGTTTAGCCCGTGGAAGCCCCTAGTATATGATCATCAATTATATGGCTAGGAACGGAGCAATAATTATCCGTCTAAAGTATAAGTAGACTGGAAATTCCCTCAACTGCTCTTCAAAATTCTTCTCATCAGTGACTTTTTTAGAACTGGCAAGAATAGCCCCACGCTTAAGGCACCTTTAAATCGCTATGCCGGCACAGAGAAAGAGTACTCGCAAGACTCGGGGACGTCCCCTTAAATATCAAGTCTCGCCGGCGCACAGTCATTTATCTGAAAATGCAGAAGCCCTCCTATCACCCAAGACAAAGGCTACAAGCATTGAGACCCAGGTCGATACCTCTTCTGTCTCTATAGCTGATATGAAAGAGAATTGTACGTAAATGCTTACTTTTGCTAGGTTCAAGCTTACTTTATATAGATGACTTTCACACATCGCTTACAATGTCCAAGAAACGTAGAGTCGAGACTGACACTGATGATATTCGTAAGTTCGGCGAACCTTTTACATATCTTAGCTTACTTTATAGCTCCACTCACGCTACTCACCGATCTCAACTCAGAGGAGTTATATAAAAGTATATCCAAGCAGCAGCCCTAGTCTTCTATCATTTACTAATTTGCCTCAAGAGATAGAAGAGACTGATTCTCAGCATTTCATCTTCCCCGCTATCAGTATGTCTAATCTATTATATCATAGCCTTGGCTTATATCTTTAACAGATGAATCAACTTCTCAGCCAGAAGAGTTAGACACTATTCCTAACACCCCGGTATCTGAGGCCGATGGTAAGTTTCTTTCCAATTACTCTAGCATAACACTTACTTAGCAGGGAATGAAGCTGTTACGGAAGCTGTTATGGAAGCCCCACAAGTTCAGAAACGTGGTCAGGACGAATATGAGCCTGCGGATGTGAACCATACAACCGACACAAATATAGACTTTGAATACTTCTATAACAATTCACAACGATATGAGGTTATATATGTCGACGGATCGACATATATTAAGGATGGCCAAGAGATGTGTTCAGTAACCAACATTGATGGAGAATGGCATCTAGTTTCAAGTGGAGGAAAGACTCCTCGATCTACACTACCAGAAATCAACGGAGCACGAAATAAGGACGATACAGCAAGATCAACCAATCCTAGTGCCTTAGTACTTGATGGTAAGTCTTACATCTATATTGTTAAGTAACTTACTTACTTAGCAGGCAACGAGGCAGGTGATAAAAACTCGCAAGGTCAGAAACGTGGTCGGGACGAATATGAATCAGAGCCCTAGTATCCTATTATTTCATATGTATTGACCCTCTAGTTTTGACCTTAATATATCTCAACTGTTTTCTTATCTTGATATATATTATGGCAATCTAGTCTGTAGTCTTGTTTTAGAAAGTATGAGAAGGAAATATCAGCTAATAATAACGGTCTATTTCTATATATTAAAGCAAGCTTAGGTAAAAGAGGAAAGCCAAAAAAACAAAAACGGTTAAATACGGAAAAACTTATACCTATTCTCTCCCCTTTCCTTTCCAGTTCCAATTGGAAAACATTCGGTTCATCTCATCCTTTGATTTTGCTTTGCTCTTTTCTTGAAGAGAACGTTCTTTGTGCAGTTTTGTATTCGCGTCTGTATCTCTGAGAACTAACTGTTTCTGTTTTGCATTCGCGTCTTTGTCCCTAAGAACTAACTGTTTCTGTTTCTGGCTACTCTTGTCATCTTTATATCTTCGCCGTCTTTGGTCTTTATCCTCTTTAGTCCTTTTCGATGATTCTGGATACTGAGTGTGGCGTTTACTAATTTCCCGGTCGTCACTAATAAAAGAAACCCGCTTCTGCTGGTGTTTCAACTTTGGGTGGCTAGGGATATGCTTGCGGTTTTCTGGGTGAGTATAGCCTTTAGAATTAAAGTTGGAAAAAGAGGCTTCTTTAGAGTGTTGCTGAGGCATATCTCTGCGCAAATTATTTTGCCTTTCCATCTCTAGGCTGTCTGATCCAGAATCATGTTCCCAGACTAACCGGCCCCTTTGACGAGTGTTTGCTCTGTAATTGCCCCGATTTTGCAACACGTACTCAGGTTCATAAGTTTCAGTGCCAGGCAGCAGTCGACCTTTTTGCGGGCTGTTAAGTGTATCGGCTTGATAAGTGTTATCCATTAGCAGTCGATTTTGCTGGCGGCTGTGCCCCTCAAGATCAGCATAATTTGAATACGGCCCACCTGGAAAGGACCATTGCGGTGAAATTCGCTTCACAGGGATAGGACGAGGCTTCCTATTTCTTTTGAGCAGTTCTTGCGCCCACTGGCCCGTTAGTGCCCGGTGTACTTTCACTAGGTCTTGAATCTCGTTGACCCCGTATAATTTTTCCATTTCTCCTTGGTGATACCAACCCCAAATAAGTGTTTTTTTGGATCCCCCACCTCTTGGTCCGACAGCTAATCTAGTAAATGGATTTTTTCGCGGAACTTGGAGTGAAGTTTCATTTGTTTCGTAATTTTCAGTCGAACGTAAATTCTGCTTTACACTAGCAACACCTTTTATCTTAATGCGTCGAATGCTAGTATTTGCTAGGAAAGATATATTTCCTGGTTTGGTTGAAATCATATCGTTTTTTTGCAAAAATCCCTCATTGCGTTTTTGTGTAGATGTTGGGCTTCGAGATCGTAATTACGTATTGTTTTAGGGCACTTTGGATTGACTACTGGAAATTCGAGCAGCAAATGGTAACCCATGCCGTATGCAAAGCTCCCAATAACCTTTTTCATTATTCTTCTCCCGTCTGAGCGATCTTCAGAGATTACGAAGCCTTTAGGCGTAGGGGACATATAAGGCGTGTCTGCATCACGTCTGTTGAGGTAATGTCTATACCACCGGGGTCTGTCTTTTTCAGTAGTATGTTCTAAGTATTCACAATCTGACGGAAGATTGTCAAGCGTAGGGGTATCATCTTGATGGCGAATCTTTGCTGGGACATCCTTGCGACCTTTATGAGCAAATAGTTGTTCGAATCTAGCATTATCTTCTTCACTTTCTGAGCTGGTACTCTCATCTTCTGAGCTTTCTCCATCTTCTGAGCTTTCTCCAACTTCCGAACTTTCTTCATCTTCTAAGCTTTCTCCATCTTCTGAGCTTTCTCCATCTTCTGAGCTTTCTCCATCTCTTGAGTTTTGTTCATCTTCTTCGTCTTCATTATATTCTTCGTGTTCACTATCTTCCCTGTCTTCACTGTCTGAAAACTGTGGGGAGGGAAATGGTGATTCATCTGTCCAATTGTTCCCAGCTCTAAATATATTAGGAAGGCCGGCAATTAGGTCTTCCTGGCAGTTAGGACATCTTGGGTGTGAATTTAAGTCGTCTCCCGAAGAAATCCATGTCTCGATGCAATGCCTCCCTATAATAAACCTGCAACACGGCAGTTCCATTGGATATTCCCTTCCTAATTCGCGCCCACGTTTCTTGCCCCAAGTGACCTCACAACCAGGACACTTATCAATATTATGAGACTTTGCAACTTGTATAGAGATTGGATTCAGAATATTATATTTGGGATTTCTCATCTGATTGACTCGAAAATCCTCATGCATCGGGATATCTCCTTCTAAGTCTGTAGGAGAAACCGTTAGAGAATGTAATAGATTACTTTGGGATAACTTTCCTTTGGATTTTCGTTGACTTTGTTTTTGCTGCTTAGGCGATGTATCCTTCTGTTGCTCAGGAGAGTTATTCTTTTGTTGCTTAGAAGACTCACCCCTCTGTTGCTTAGGAGAGTTATTCTTTTGTTGCTTAGAAGACCCACCCCTCTCTTGTTCAGGGGATATATCTTTCTGTTGCTTAGAAGATTGAAGGATATGCGAAAGCCTTCGTAGGGTCTGGCGGGTAGGAGAGCAGTTAGAGCCTTCATCGAAACTCATGGAACCGCTCCTGAGAGTTTCATATTCTGCAGGCCCTTCAGCTTTAGCTTCAGCGGATATTTTATTCTCTTCATCAAAGCTCATAGAACCGCTCCCGATAGTTCCATCTTCTGCAGGCCCTTTAGCCTTAGCGGATGTTTCGTTCTCTTCATCGGTAACTGAAACTGCCGTTGCTGATCGAGCTACACGATAATCGCTGCCTGGAGTTAATGTTTCCTTAACTGGAGTTAATGTGACAGCAACATCATCTAAACCTTGTTGGAGCTGAGTCTGACTTCGTGTTCGCCCTCTTGATAACCCCTCTAGAAGAACATTTTCGGCCTCTGAATTAAGCGCTTCGGATTGCTTTTTTGACATTTTTAAAGTAGTTTGATGTGACGTGAAAAGATGTATGATTGATACCTGTTGACAAAGAGTATTTATAGTAGGAGAAGGCAGGTTTATACGAGTACAAGCATAACAAAACCTAAAACTAGGAAGGGGGTTCTTGGTGCAAGGTACTCTGCGATACTTACCAAGACGATTTCCTAGATCTAAGTTCTGCGAACCTTTATCCTCTAAAGGCAATTTATATTACCCTTCCGCAACATAATTATTGCTTCAATGCGAAATGGAGGTCCCTTCGGAGCTTCTTACATCTATCGCATCTCACTTGAGCGCTGTAGATCTCTTAACTTTTCGACTCCTCAACAGAAGATGTGCTCGCGCAGGTATATCACTTATTCCAAGTAATGGGCTTTCAGTTATGAATACCACTTATGATATGAAAGATCTGCAAGATCTTTTACAGTGCTCCGTCATTGCCAATAGCGTTAAAGACTTGAGGATCTTTCACGCAGACTGGCCATTATGTTCGCGGGAAGAATGGGAGACTCATCATCTTTTATTCACAGGTAACTCAAGGTTACAAGCTCATTGCTCTACTACTCCGTACTTTTCCCGGACCCCCGACGAAGCCTTTTCGGCATACTTGGAATTTGCTACTGAGCAGTACTGCCGCAGGTATTGCGATGAAGTCGAGTCCATATCCCTTATCCTTCAATATCTGCCCAATATTAGAAGTATAACAGTATCACACATGCACGATCTACTCTGGAATCCGAAGCTAAACAGGCGATACTATAATCTCCAGCACAGAATTTGGATTTCCCCTTTCTTCTCTGGTAACATATCATCTACTGTAGAATCATTGTTTTTAGCTTGTGGAGAAGAAACTTCGAATATCAAATGTCTGTCTCTAATCGGAGATTTTGACCCAGAGATGATCAATGTTAATTATAATGTTAATCCCCTTCGTTTAATCGAAAATCTTAAGGTTCAAAGTTTTAAGTTAAACGAAAACAAAAGATATATTACCGAATTTCTAGCAGCTTTCCCAGATCTGCGCGAGCTTTCTATTTCATTCCAAGGGTGGGGTCTAACCGTTGAGATTCTAAAGCCTCTCCAATGGAAACATATAGAGCACGCCTATTTCAGAGGTCTATGGACATCAGAGCAAGAGTTTTACGGCTTTTTTAAGCAACATTCTAAAATTCTAAAAACCTTTGGTCTTTTCGGCGCTTCATTAACGGATGGATCTTGGCGAAATCTTTTTACAAAAATAAGAAGCCATGGATCTCAAGTACATATTACTACAGGGGGGGAGCTTTACGGGAGAACAAGCAATGAAACATTAGATATGGATTCAGCTCAGGGGGTTAAACTTAGCTACTTCCTAGCGCATTCAGAGTCTTCATGGCCATTTAGCCAATAAACTTTAAACTAAAACGTGATAGAACAACTATAGCTTAGATGCCTTTAATTTTTACAACAATTATTCCTCGATCTTCGGATACAAAAAACTGTAATGTGATCTTGAATCTTTAAATTATAAGCAGCTCCTCTAAGTCTAGGTTTTCGTTTCTTGGATTTAAGATCTGGGTAATAACGTAACCTTTAACCAGAAAGCCCTTTTCTATTATATAAAGGTGAGCGCTAGAGTTGTTTCACTAATATGCTACTTATCTGATGGGTAAACTAATCAAATGCCATTTGGCTAGACTAATAATCCTGACAACAGCACTTTGTAGGTATGCACTGTTTCTACAAAGGTTTCACCTACTGATTATTCTCCTATAGGCCAGATAGAAGCGGCAGTCCACTGTATGTTCTGGCCTAAAATATTCTGGGACTTCTTGACTAAAGGACTCGACTGGACACTGCGCCCTTTCCCACTGATACAACTTCTGAATCTCGGTTTCAGCATCTTATTGATTGCTTGGGAATGGCCCATTGACTTATTTGCTGGTACACGAGTTCATCAAAGTCTCCAAGCGAGGTTGATTGTCGTCCCATTCGCAGGTCTTGTAGCAGCCTTGATTTATCAAGGGACTGATGTCGCCTTTTATTACTTTATAGGGACAGGGATGTACTATTGGGCTCATATTACAGGGGAGGTACGTTTCCTATTCTTGATTCTTTTAAATGCTCATTAGATAAGGCTATTCCTGTAATACCATGGACCTTGAACAAATCGGTCGGAGTCCAAGCAGCAAAGGCAGAAAATTTTATAGCTAGAGTTTAGGAGGCCACCACTATGTGGAATGTTGGTGTGATTTTATCTACATAGTTATTCTTAACGTCAAAGGTGTCTTATGCGTCTACTTAATATATATGTAAATCTCGGTTAAGCTGGTGGATAACAAGTACAAGTGTCCCATTTATTACCCCGCACTCCTGCAGAGCCGCAAACTAAACAAGCCTCTTAATGTCTCCACTTTCTACCGGTACTACCGGCTGAACATTGCTGCCTTAGGCCCTAAAGCACCACCAGCGACCTCATGTCAGTACAGCAAGCTAAATAATCAACGATCACTGTCCCCCAACAAGTCAGCAACCTCGGAGTTATCTATATAACGTTCTCCCTCCCCCGTCTTTGTGCGAGATGGTATCTTACTACGGGATTAGATACTTGGCGCACACGAACGCACCAGGGCCAACCCCAACTTTGTCGCACCAAGATCATACGGGGCAACATTTAAGGCAGCCTTGGCTCACCATCTAGCTACATACTGCTGCTTCCACATAGATACGACCAAGGTGCTTCAAGAATCTGATTCTCTCAGCCCCCCCCCCCCCCCGCCCCGATATGCGGACGAAGACGATTCCAGCGCACATGACTCCAGCGACTTGGCTGGTCCTCCCGTCAGCATAATCTCTCACATTGGACGCCTCAGTTAATAGGAAGGTTGGGGACCTAAGATATGCTGAATCCTCATCCACTGTCAGCACTCCTGGTGATGTGCTATGCATTTGCTATGTCCGAGCACCACCTAATGCAGAATGTTGAGAAGGTGTGCTCAGGAGCTCGGCTTTAGGCTTGGTTGTTCAGGCGTTATGCCTTGGTCTGCATATAGAAGGAGAACAGGAATGAATGGAAAGGGGCGAAGTATATCCGCGGGCAACGGATGTTGTAGTAATGATTACAAAGAAGTTTGGTTTTATCTAGCTGCTGTTTTAGTTGCCCATTTCGTATTCTTTTTTTAGATGGGCACGGCGAGAGGCCAAGTACGCTCTCTTATCTCCAACCTATCAGTGGTACAAAGTTTCTCATCGAGTAGCATTATTGTGGTAATCACCAGCCTCCCCATTAGAGTTGACGGTTGCTTTGAAGGAGTCATTCACACGTGCCTTGCATGCAACAACGCAGCCATGAAATAGTATTTATTCGCGTCCTCCCTCAACATTCTGTCTGACTGCTCTTGCAAACTTTTCTATCAAACGCTTTCTATAACTGCTGCCCTTTCTACCTTTATCCATCTGGGTGAAGTGACATTATCAATCATGGCAGAGTCCAAAGTCGATAGGAGGATCACTGAGAACCAGTGCGTCTTCGAATCATCTCCATTTTCCAACGGCACTATTTCCAAATCGCCAGAAGGCGACAATATTGCCTCGATGCATGCAGTATTTGATGCCGACGGCAGGTCCCCAGCCATGACAACACCAACATGTGGTGGGCAACTCACCCAGCCATCCCAACGTACTCACCACACCCAGCCATCCCAAAATACTCACCACACCCAGCCATCCCAACAAGGACTCGACGTCGCTTCCACGCACGGAATCGGCGATCGAAGTTCGATGCCAGCCGGAGATGCAGTTGAGACGGAGGAACTCCCCCCCGACTCACATCCGGATCACGATATCACCGTGTCAAGAAAAGCTATAGTAGCTGAGCCTGGTCAATTCTATACACCATCTGATTCAGATCTGTTTGAACTTTATCCAATCCATAATGATCTTGTTGGGCATAGTTTGAACATCGACGTTGGCTCTACTACCGCCACTCCTGAAAGTTTCGAGTCACCTTATCCCTGGGATGCGAATCTTCTCTCTAATCTCGACGACCAGCTTCCCCCTCTTTCCGCGGAAGATTTAGCAATCATGAGCTGCGAGATAACTCCGACGGAGGTGGAAGTACTGACTGCTTCTATGTGGTCAAGTCCCGAGAGCCATATCCAGCCTACTTCTCAACTCACCTCCCAGCCTCACATTACTATTCCGGCAAACTCACTTCACATTGACGGCGCACTTGCTCCCTCAATCATTCAGACTGAAGTCACAGTACCTCAGACAAGCATGGGTGAATCCGTTGCCTCACATCCTCCAATATCATCTCGAGATAGCGACATCTCGATGAGTGATGATGATCTCGAGTCTTGGGTTTGTGTAAGCCCTCCGACCAGCGCCTTTTCAGGCCAATCTCCCCCGCCACCTGATAGTAGCACCCCGGAGGAAAGGACCATCGTCGTCCCAACCCCCGAGCACGATACTGAGTGTCGTAAAAACACTTGTTTGTATCCCCATTCTTGCTTTTAGCTGTATTCTTACAAGTGAATAGTATCTGTGCGCATGATTGATCTCACAAATGACGTGATAGAATATCGTATGCATCCCTAACGCATTTTTACTTCAGATACTTACAAGTTTATAGCAAGTCGAAATGTTATTGACCTTACCGTTGATAGCGACAGGATTGAAATCAAGCCTCACATCCTTCAAAGTCCCAAGAAGTTCATCAGGGAGAGAATTACCCGGTGGGAGGCTACGCGAAAGAAGCTAGATGAGTTCAGCGCCCAATTTGATGAGAGGACACCGTATGCGGATGAAGGAGAGAATGACGCTACCATGGGGGGAAAGCGTGCATTTGATGAGTACTTGGAATTACAGCGCGGGAATCTAGTCGATTCAACGAGGTACTGGGAGGTTGTTCGTGAAAGTCTGCAGCAGGAAGATGATGCGCTGTCTCAAGCGGAGGATGTAAGGAAGATGGAGAAGAGAGCCATTAAAAGGGCAAGAAAGTCGTAGTCACGTGAAAAGTTTGATGTTGATAAATTTAGCCTTTTCTTCCATAGGTTTACTATTTGATGTGATGATAAATGTCTATTTGCTATGACTTTTCAGCTCGACGAGAAAAATAACTTTATTGCATAAAAAGCTGACCGGATATGGTGGGTGGGTGACCCGGGGTATCCTTTCTGCCTCCATAGCAGGGGCCCCTGCGCTGCATCACCTATAAGCTGGCTTTTTCTACCCCTTGCGCAGCAATAAGAACTCAGATTTCACTAGATAACTATCCCACCTATAATAATCCCGGTGTCTTAGAGTATTTCACGTGGAACTGCCCATTGCTCAGCTATAAAGCCACTGCCCCTTAATAACCAAAGCAGATATCTTTTCCTTTGCATTTTTCTTATCACAATACACATTGATAATAATCCCTTTATTCAAAAATAATATACCCAAATCTCCGCAAGCCTTACCGCCTAAGTGCTCACACATATCGGAGCCCATAACCGACCACACCGCCTCAATGTCCGCAAAGATGAAAGACGCAAGCGTAGTCCTTCTTCATACTATGCTGCCGAAGACATCCATACCCCAAGTCTGGGATATTGTTATAACTGTTGATGATGTGAATGGGAACGCTGTTAAGCAGCATTCCCTCCAAATCACAACCTTGGATGGCAACCTAGGCGAGTCAAAGCATGTCGATGATAGTTTGAGCGCTAATAATTGCCAGGAGCTGATTCTATTTCGGTTTTAGGTAGCCGCGCAGGCCTTAGGGGTGGTCTAGAAGATAATGCTACTAAAGATAGTTTACACCAAAGTAGGTATGGCAGGTTTTATACCCAGCATTAGACTAATACAGGACATAGTTATCACTGACCCACAGCAAAATGCCCCAGAGGAGCAGCATAATGATCCACAGGATATCGATGGTACTGTGAGCCCCGAGATTGTTCATAGTGAGTCATGAGAGCTTTTCATAATAATGTTTCCGCTAATTCAAAATTAGGTGCCCATCATCCTCATCATGTGCGGATAATGGCTTTAGATAACATCCTCCGTTCTCAAGCTCTTAAGAACAAAGAGCAATTTTCAGAGATAACAGACGACGTTGGTCGGGTATCCCAAATGGTTAACATGAATCTCGCCGCAATGATTCTGTTCCAAGCGAGAGTCAACTTTGACTCCTGGCATATATGCTCTAATCGTCTGCGTTTGCTGCTAGATTCAAATGAGAGCAGGGAACGAGAGACGGCTCACGCCAGGGAAGTGAAACGTGCCTTTGAGCTTGCGTTTGACAGCAATGAAGCCGATATTGAAGGATTGAAGAACAGAGTCATCGAGAGGTTGGGCATGCTTGAGAAGTTGTGTCAACGACTGCGACGCCATGCAGCTCCAACCTTAGCATCTTTGGGAAATGAATAAGTGGTGGAGTGGCGGTGATCAATTTTGATTTCGATTTTCCAAGTGGTTATTCATTTATACTTGCGGGACGCAGAAACGCCCATTTTTGTTTTTTTATTTTATTCAAAACTATATGCCATCTAGCATTACCTATAAACAGAGATTAGGTATGAAATATAACTGATCCAGCTTTCAAGTGACATTTCTACTTTGATTTTTTTCCATTGGCATTAGACCCTCATTGCCGAAACGAATATGAAAAGGCGTGCGACATAGCAAGATCTGTATTACTTAGGCAAGCAGCCATACCTGTATGATGTCCCGTAGCCTGCAAAACTCATCCCATTCAAGTCCCATAATCACTACATCCTTCTAAGAAAGTGGTAGACACACTTTCCATCGATGCAACTGAATACCGTTGTACGCCGTACCCAAGACAATCGAAATCTCAAGATGAGACAAGTGACACAAGATGTTGGCATGCTCGCGCAAAAGATGTCCTTCATATCCGCACTGGCAACGCTGAAGTGGGAAGTCGTTTAAATTCAAGGATTTATCGCTATGCCTCCCGACCGCGAAGCGATTGTCAAGAAGTCCCAAACATTGCAGTCCGTTGAAGGCTTCAAGAATTTTGAGTAACGATGAGCTTTTTATCCAGGCCAACGGAAGAACAATTGATTGCGCCTTTGAAAGTGTATTTGAAAGGAACCGGAGCATCAGATCAGGATGCTTAGTCAACTCAGCCTGAGAGCTAAAGAAGATGGTGTCGCGTGACCAGTTGATGTATATATAAACTCCGTTCGTATCATCTATATAAAGTCGAGTGTAGTCCATTAAAGCTTCTCGGCGCGATTCTTGGCAGATGAAAAAAGTTTGCACGAGTTCTGTTCTAACTCGGATTTCCCATGTCGCCGAATCATTTCTAAAGTCTGGACTGAAGGTAACCAATCGCGGTTTATGAATCGACCCCCATACTTTACGGCGCAGCTCGAGGGGCAGGTTTGGGAATTTTGGAAAGTTGGTGTGTTGGGTGATTGTGCGGAGCTTAGAGCTACTGCAGACGATGCTCGATGTCAGGACCATACTACATAGGTTAATGATAGGGGATGTGAAATATGATTCAATCTGAGAGAGGACACGAGATAATTAATGGCTGTCGGGTTTGGTTCGATCCTAAGTGACAATTGAGTTGATCGTTTATGGGCTTCAGCAATTAGTCTTCTATACATCTTAATTCATATTACCAGGCGGTTAGAAGAGTGGAGGGTGAGAGTTCGATGCAATAAGAGCTACAGGCTACCAATTACCCCGTCAGGCTATCCCTACCCCTCTCTGTCCTAGTCCCAACACATGACACGTTGCAATCACACCATTATAAACTTTAGCTATACTATCCAAAAAGGAATATTAGATTATTGGCCGTAACCAATCTAGCAAATCCCTCCTCCCTAAACATTCTATAATAGTGTCACATAATGTACTCATTTTATTATAATATATAAGGTCAGCGAAGTGGCAGAAGTTTATATGGAGATGTCACTCAATTTTCCATCTACTGTCTCATTTACATTTGTGACTATTTAAATCTTCTACATGTGATATATCTAAGAATTTGATAAAAGTGACTCGTAACGGGAAATTTACATTCCTGCACGCTTTTATTTAGCACGGTATAGGGTTTAGTAATAGTTAGCTATAATCCACACTTCCCATTTTAGCAATATAGCAACTAGGTGGAAGATACTCCTTGCCGCATTTGTATCAAGGGTTCCTAAACTCGCATAGTATGAAAGAAAAGGGCGGGGGTGGACGTGGCGCTCAAGTAAGAAGGTTCTAAATCTAGACAAGGGCCTCAAAAATGCGATAAGATTGGAGAACCCGGCCCCCAGTGCACTTGTAATGCTTAATATTTCGGGGGCATCTTTCTGGGATGCATCTTCAGGGGTCCTGGCTCTTGATCTAGAGAAGGGTGCGGAATTGAGAATCCGGTAGCCGGTCTACAAGGATTTAGTTGGAAGAGTTCAGACCGTAAGCCGTAGGATCAAGGAGGAAGACCCGCGACCTGCATGCACGCATAATCGAGAATCCAGAACCCTACGCTTGCAGACTACTACTGCAATGTCTAGTCTTAAAATAGAGGCCTGGGAATTTAGTTGCACTTATTTCCAAGAATTCGAACCCCTACGATGGCAGACCAATACTGTGCTATTTAGTGTTACCAGAGAGCCGGGAAATTGGCTGCACGCATTTTCAAGAACCCTTGGCAGTTGCACGCACATTCAAGATCAACCCTGCAGGGAATCCTATTGGTGTAGTGCGGGGTTAAGCTTAAATCTGTGTAACTCCGCGTTGCTTTATCACCGAGGGCAGAAAGACGCCCTATGTTTAGTGAATATCTAGTATGTGATTTATATAGCAGCAAGGGTCAAGTTGATACAACACTCGCAAAACATCACGTACTCACGTGCTTCTTTCGCCTGTTTTTAAACGAAGAGTATAGAATTGTAGTATACGTCACTTTATACCAACAGCTAGTACTCTTAAGAATATTCCTCTGTTTGATAGTGTGAAAGAAAATTGAATAAATAGCATTGTGTATAAATAGACTTTGAAGTTAAAGAGCAATTTACATTAAGTGAACAAGACCCTAAATACCCAGGTTCACACCCTGCCAATCTTCTTATAGCCTAGCCCGCCGGCTGCTCCACCCATCTAAAAGTTCATGGCTGTAGGGGTTGAAGGGCTGAATATACGCTTGGGGTTGGTGGACGGCTGGGCTGCAATATTGCGAGGGATTGGCCTCCCTGGTCCCAAATGACCTTCCGCCTTACGTTTGATTCCTTGTCCAGGAACTCTCGAGTCGACTGGTGATTGGGCATGGCATGGATTGGTAGCTCCTGAATCCTCGACGGTAGGGCTCTCCTATAAGTCGTATTAGACAAAGATGAAAAGCATCAGGTAGTTGGAGACTTACATTTTGTGAACACACATTTGTGTGGCTATTAAGCGAAAGGCGTAGATGATTGTTGTCCTCTTTCAGCGCCCTCAAGCTCGCTTGCGAATGTTGCACTTGCTTTGTGAGTTTTGAGATCCACCAGATAAGTTGCGCATTCTTTTGCCTCTCGTAATATAAAAGCCGCTCGATAGAAGGGGTGGCAGAGAGAAGACTGATAGCGTGCTGAAATGATGAGTCTTCGGTCGGGGTCAATGCTTGAGGTGGGCGGTATTCAGGATATACTTGAGAGCCGCCGCCTAGAGGTATCTGTATAAATTGAGTTGGGTCCACGAATTCCTGAATAGGATAATCGGTGATTAGTTGGTAATTTGCTGCCATTGTGTTGATGCGAAGGTTGATGGAAGTTATTATTCACGCAAGGTCAAATGCACATACTTATATAATAAAAGACAATAGCGACATACACTATAGTCATTCAGATTAAATACAAGCACCCAAAACGAAGAACCGAGACCCTCGAACCTATTTGGAGATGAATACTATATAGTAAATCAAGAACAAGGGTTTAATTCTAGAATCACGGCCAGAGTGTAGACACACTAGTCGGTATAGGTGAGTGAAAAGGAACGGGTGATGTAAGTATTTAAGCAATACAAGTATTCAAACCTTAATTAATCAAGCAAAGTGTATCTATAGTAACGTTGAAACACGAATACGGGGCTCTAAACAGGTAAGGGGAAGAACTTCAATACCATTACGTAGCTAAACTTTAAAATATAAAAGCAGACTCCTCTATTGACCAAAACTCATAAAGAAACTGCACTGATTTACACTCTACGGATATCTAGCTCGATGTACACAGGGCTGTGATTGTCTCCGTGATGCGCCAGCTCAACTGCCTTTCCGTCATGTTGGCCGAGGCCTGGCTTAAAGCCGTCATAATGGATCGCATTGCTGTTGGAACAAGGTTTGTTCCGATCACCATGTTGGAAGAAGCTCCTGATGTGATAGAGACCGCATTAGCGTCAGAAGCAGACGTTGATGTTAACGTAGATGTAGATGCCGCAGAGTTTCCACTTATTGCATTAGCAGTCGTCAGGGGTGCTGGACTCACTACATTGGTGGGGAGAATCGATGTGGAAATAATCGTCGAAGTCAGCGCTTCAGTAACGGTTGTGGATGGTCCAATAGACGTGACTAATGTAGTTTGAGTTGCGACTGGTATAATGCAACTAATCACACCAGATTGACTAATGTCTAACGCATTTTGATCCCCTGAACCTCCACTTATCATGGCTTGAGTACATGATGGTGATGATTGGTCAGCACATCGCCTGAAAATTGTTACTTATGTATATACCTCGTGAAAAGAGTCACTTACCACAAAATAAATGCCTCCCCATTTGGAACCTCTAGGGGAACTACAAATTGAGCTTCTTGGGACCCTAAACAACTTATAGGTTTAAAATCAACACGCAGAGGGAAGAAATCAGAATCAGCAAATGTGAGCACAGCTTCGCAACGTTTACCGGGGGATGGCTGGAGGCTGGCAGAGTTAGCACGCTTATTAGGCACCGGAATGTGCCACATACCTTGCCGACACAATGGAACCTGGCTGGAGGGTAACAGCAGGGGCTGATATGCATACCATAGGAGATATTGTTGCCTCGACAAGCCCGGTAACCAATAGAAACAGGGTTGAGATTAAAACAAACTTCATATTGATTTATTTTAGAATGTGGTTGATAGGTTAGATTCTGAAAGCATAGGGCGGCTGGTAATCTATACTTATAGGAGTGGTGAAGACGAATCAGAGGTATACGATAAGCGGTTAACGCGCTCCTAGTCCCCCGCCCGCGGTTCTCGCCTGAGTAGGGGGAAGCTAAGTTCGGAACGCAGAACGTAGGCCCCCTCCTACCAGAAGCAATAGAAAGTGTTTACCTTCCCCAGGAGGGCGAAAGTCAAACCAGCAATCAGATCAAACAAAGATGTATCATCAATCCACATCAAAGCCATACACCCCCCACGTGCAATACACAGACCCGCCTCAATATAGACAACCCATGGCCATGCCAGGCTATCTGCCATCAGGGCTTCAGCCACCTGGGGAAGGATTCCAACCACAAGCACACTCGTACGCTATGGGACAAGTTATGCCTCAATCCCAACGGCAACCACAGGGGGTTTCTCGGCCAGGAACAGTTCCAGGACACCAAATGTCCCCTCCCCCAATTCCAACCGCGCAAGTGCAAAGGCAGAGTCAAATCCCCCCCACAGGACAGTTTGCAGCACCTGCAACGGCGCCCGCTCAGCACCTCGAGTATCCCCAACCCCCACGAAGCTCGATGAAATCCTCAGAGAATTTTGAAGGTTGGACAGAATCCGGCCCAGAAATTCCTTTCCACCAGCCAGAAGAGTACTCGCAAGCCTATCAACAACAATCATCGCCGGAGCTTGTACCTCGACACCCAAGCCTAGGTTTTTCGGCGGAGAATCACAAATGCACGTCCGACGGGAATCTTTCCACCGCAACGACTGTAGTGGAAGACGCGTATGTTTTGCTACCCTTCCAAAGTGCATTCACTAATAGAAATTTCAAGTTCTGCAATCATCCATACCAATGAGGAGATCTGGCAAAAATTGGAGAAGAAAATACTGCAGAAGATTGAGGAGAGATGGCACAACCAGGAAGCGGACATACAGAAGCTTAAATGGAAGATAGACGACGAGTCTCAAAGGTCTCGGGATGCGTTGTTCCACATAGGGACAGTCAGTGGTCGGGTTGACAGGCTTGAAGACGAAATGAAAGTACCGCAGTCCCCACTACAGGTATCACCGGTGCACCACCAAAAAAATGCGTCGGGGAATTGATAGTCATCGCGTTAGGTATCTCATGTATTGTGTATGGTATTTGGTTTTAGGTACAAATATTTCTCTGGGGTTATTTAATCGTAGATGCTAGGGCTATTTATTTACGAGTTCTATCTATTATGCTATCCATATCAACTCCCCTAAATCAATCACATCACGGACGCTGATTCATTTTACCATTTATCTTCTTTAATGAACCGTGACTGCATCAGGAAAGCCTGAGGCTTGCAGGTAGGGTGTAGTCTATTACGAAGTAGCAGGCTGTATCGTTCGCAGGAGATACTATACATGTAGTACCGCAACAAGAACGGAGTACCCCGTAGATGAGGTAATTTATGCACGAGCACCTACCTAGATTTGAGGAACCAGCATACGAAGTAATACGATAATACGGCCACCAATGACCTCAAAATGCTAGTCTCAATCAGTCTAAACTAAACTAAACTAAAGTAGGTAGGTGGCTTCCGCGCCTTGTGAGTAAACCGTGTGTGCCGACACATGATAGAAACCAACCCGCCCAGTTGGTAACCAATAACAATCTAGATACCTTACCCCGCTTTGAACTAGGGTAACTCAACGTCCCCACTCGCAACATCGCCTCCCCGTGCCCGCGCCGCTGTACGCGCCTACCTACCTAAAGAAGCCTGTCCAAGTCTTTAACCTTGTTCAAGTGATGACCAGCAACGGAGCTGTTCTGCACATGCTGCACCAGGGGTCTGATGTTTTCGGAGCTGCCGCCTCTTCCTCGCAAGAATATGTGCTAATCTCCCATGTCAGATATATAACGTTACAGACAGGGAAAGTCACGCCGATCGATCTGCATCGCATCACATTGCATTGCATTGCATTGCATTGCATTGCATTGCTTTGCATTGCTTTGCATGCCGATACAACCCAACATACGCACATTGTTAAGGTTCTCCAAGCTGCAACCAGTGGACATGCACGCCTCAATGAAGTCAAAAAATCCCGAGCTAAGTTCATGGTCTAGAGGCACAGGAATAGTCACGGAATTGGTCCGAATCACGAGCCGCTGGTCGGGGGTCTGGTCTTCCTCATGGATGCGGGGCAGCCTAGTTAGCATGTGGTATACGAGATGGCCAATGTTCTGGCAGTCATGCAGATGCTGTGGTCCGATCTCTACAGGTTGCACCCTCGGCCCAAATCCAGCTTACAATAGAGGTTACCTTAGGCATGTGTACTTTGAACAGATATCATCGCTTACCTAGACGAACTGTAACATCCTCTCCCGCATCTTGTAGAAACACGTTAGAGGCTCTGATCCCGTATACTAGCCCAGTAACTGCCACGACTTGTAGTGCAGAGATCACCTGTCCAAAGTTAGCTCGGTCTGCAACCATCCTCTATTAGCCTTTCTTGCCTGGCTTATTATTGCTGTAGCCTGCAGTTCAGATATTGAAATTGTGCTGTCAATTACGTCCGCCAAGCATATGCCAGCCAAGTCAGAGCACACGTACACGTGATCGCTCCGGAAGAACATGAACCTAGGCGCCACAAAGGAATCAACTCTTTGCCGTGCTAATTCCAGGAGTTTGAATCGCATTATGGTCCAGCTAGACTCACGACACGATTGGAGTACATATCTTTTCGATGTTTTTCTATCCCGAACAGTCCAGGTGCAGCCTCTAACTCCCAAGTAGAATTTCTGTGAGTGGTCAAAATCTTCCCACTTCCTACTCTGAAACCCTTCACTATCACCTTCCTCCTCACGTTCGTTAATACTGTGAAGTGAATGTCTTAGCGTGCCACTATGGAGTCGACGAATATATATTGCTCGGCGGTTTGACATTGCTATAATTATGTTTTACCAAGAATAATCTGGATGTATGCACAGGTGTTTATCTGGTCTTATATCTAAAGAAGGGGCGTGTTTAGACCCACGATCTCCGAACTCTACCTTAGGATCTTAGATTTGATATAGAGGGATTATTATAAATAGTTCAACCCCCGAACCTCCCAATCCCCCAACCCCCAAAACTTAATCACCATATAATCAAGCTCTATCGTATAGAATTATGTCGTCGGAAAACAAGTCTCTTCCTTCCGCCCCCTTACATTTCGAACAACTTCACTATGAAAACATCAAACTCCGCGAGAAAAATAAGTTTCTCGAGGACGTGATTGAAGTCTTGTATAGTCAGAATCAACAATACTCTACAGCTATCCAAAGTCGTAAAGTAAACGAGAAGGAGGTAAGATCAAAGATTGAGCGTCTATTGAAGTTCTCGAACGATATGAATGTAAAACAGAAGCGGAATGATGAGAAGTCCAAGGAGTTGGATGAGGATAGAAGAGCACACTGGGATAAATTCTGTAAACAGAAGTCCACAGAATACAAAGATGGCATGTGGGTATATTTGGAGAACCTCAAATCACGAATCATTGATAAACAATACGATGAACTGGTTCATGGAGATGAACTTGAGGAAATTGTAATAGGAATGAAAATCTGATATCCTTCTATAATGTAATCGCAGCATATAACCGGCTATAGCTCTAAATCAAACAAGTAAAGAAAGTCTTCGTTGTCTTCCTCGTCTTCAACTTCACTTTTATCGACTTCCTCCGTTGCGTCGACTGCCATTCCTATAATGTGTTCTTCCTCTGCTTCTTCGAGATGATGTGCGAATAACTCGACGCTCATAGCGCGAAATTTGAGGAGAATATAACGGCACATCATCCTCATCTTTCTGGCGAAGACTGGTCACATGAGTTTTGGATAAAGGATAGGATGATTTCTACTTACAAAAACTTAGTGACAAAGAATGCACCAACGGCTACAACAGATGCTCGTATGAAACCCATAGTTCTTTAGTTGATAGTATATCTTGATTTAGAGTCAATTTTATAAAGTGATCGTTACGCTGGAGGTAATCTCTGGTACATATTTAATAGATTTATATGAATTGCTAGTAGTAAAACTTGGGGTTGGGATTTGGTGCTACTTGAATCGGCATCCTCCGATCTCGTCTTCTAGATTTAATACAAAGTGATACAAGGGCATCATAGCTCGTTTAAACAGGGATTTGCTTTAAGGGGGCTCGCTTAAACAGGAGTTTGCTTGGCTCGCTTAGAAAGAGACCTGGGTAAGCACCTACCTAGTATACTATATAGGGTAGAAGTTTATTATATCAGTTATATAATATCTTATTTTTAGAAGATAATAAACAAGGCTAGTCTAATTTGTTTGGCAATTCCATTCAATCTAAATAAGAAACTCATCTAAATATAATTAAACTTTCAAGCTTTTAATCTATTAAAATCTCTTAAAAAACAGTTAAATAAATTTAATAAATATCATTTGACTTTCAATTAGAAAAAAGCATCCCGAGCCATCTCTTCTGCCATGTTGTTAGATCGGCTTAATATAGTTGGAGTTGGTTTTAGAAGCTTTGTTTGGTATTCCTTTTTCTTTTCTGGTTCGTTATTACTAAATGGTCGATATTCTGTCTCGGCAAATTCAATTATGTTTTTGCGAGATGTTTCCTCAAGAGTTAGAGCTCTCATTGCACTGGTAAAAGAAGAAACGCCACATGCTAATACTGTTAGTATTGGTATAATTAATATGTGAGGAAACTTGCCTACGACAATACTTTGCCCTGCTGAACCCAGAACACGCTTCACATCTCCGCTAATTGTTTCAATCGTCGTAGCTTTATATATATACTGATAACGTCTTCCGTCAAGAGATAGTCGTGGCTCGGAGATCTGCTTTGAGGGATGGTAAACCCAGATTTGTATAAACGGGTCAGGAAGCTATCTAAGTTAGCATAGAGCACGTAGAAAGCTTTTGGACATCAGGCGCCTTACGAAAGCATCAGCAGTTTT